ATTAAGCGTGTTATATGGTTTGTTGATATACTCTGTGTTTTTTGTAAACTGTTTTTATATGTTGTACACCGCCGCGAGTCGCCCTAGGGCTGAGAGCGGCGGTCAACAAATGCATTAAATAAATAAATAAATAAATAAATAAATAAATAAGATACAGGGGAGTCCATGGAGGGATACATATTTCATATTCATAAAACACAGGCATCTCCAATATACAGGCATTTCATATATCACAACCCACCACCCATCCCAATCCATTACAATAAGAAAATATTTCATTTATTTCATAAAAAGGAGAAAAAGGAAAAACTAGAAGTCCCAAGGTCCGGTCAGAGGGGTTTGGATGCAGGGGCCAGCCCATGGTTCAGGCTGGCCATCAGAAGATCAGTTCATTTTGTTAAACAGGAGCTGGAGCTGAAGGGAGGGGGCTATGTTCCATTGTCCTGTCCTTGGTGGAACTAGCGCTCCCGACCGGGGATCGGGCCTCCCTGCCCGATCCCCACTTCCAAGGCTTCCCCTTGGGCAGTGGCGGTGGATCGCGGATGGCGGGAACCATGCTGGAGCGAGCGGCGGCGAGCAGAATGGAGCAAGCGGCAAAGCCGGCGAAATTTTGACAATCAGCTGGTGACTCGGCCGAATTTAATGATTAAACAAAAACAATTATTTCACGAGTGCAGGAGTCCAAAATGAGGAAACCAAGATAGCAGTTAGTCTTAGAAATTAAAGTAGAAAAATACAAAATTTGAACGGGCCCGATCCGCCATGTTGTTGTTTTGGCGGATAAGGGGGGCCAATAGGAAAACCTCCGTATCCGCGATTTGAGCTTTCGCAAATCCGGGGGCCTGGGGAGGCCGGGAAGGCATCCCCAGTGAGCTCACGGTTCCCCGGAGCTCAGAAAAAGGTTTATTGTGAGTTAGAAAAGCTGCAGTCAGTAAAAGGACACAAAGTATCAAGCGGAAAGGATTTAAAGTATCAAAACTTAAGTGTTTTATTGAGGGATTTGTTACAAGGGGAGGGAGAGGGGAAAGTGAAAGAAAGGCTTCATGCAATCCTTTGCTTTGAGCTGCTGGCTGGGGCACATTTCATCAGTCGGACCCAACTTTGCCCTCCGGAACTGCGGAACTCCCTGCTGCAGTTCAAACTAATTTGAAGGCGGGAGTTTCTGCTGCCTGGCGGGTTATCATATCCCCACTCGGGGACTGAAAGGGGCGGAGCCTCTGCATAGTCCCCTCCCAAGCATTGTACAGGACCCAGGAAGCGAGCGGAGGGCGCCCATTGGCCCTCCCGAGGCAGAGAAACGCTCCCATTGGCTCCTGATGGGGGCGGGCTGCCAAGCCTCCTCCCAGCTGTTCCAGCCTCAGCCAATCAGCGTGAAGCCGGCTGTCAGGGGGGCGGGCGGGATTTTCAAACTGCTTTCTTTGTTTCACTCTGTATAAAAATGCCTGGAAATTCTTGTGCTGTATGCTTGCAGTGGAACGATTCCTGTAACGCAGGGGTAGGGAACCTTTGGCCCTCCAGCTGTGGTGGACTTCAACTCCCACAATTCCTTGAGGCTCGGCATTCGCCAAAGGCTTACCTTGGCCCAATGCCGAGCCTCAAGGAATTGTGGGAGTTGAAGTCCACCACAGCTGGAGGGCCAAAGGTTCCCTACCCCTGCTGTAACGCATCCATTCAGCTGAATCGCAAATAAACGCCTCGATCGTTGGACTCCTTCGCCTGGTGAGCTTATTTGATTTTAGTTATCTTTGGCGCTCTTGGATTGGCTTCCGGAAAAGCTCACCAAGGTATCCAGGACTCTCTTTGGTGCAGTCCTTGGGCTCTCCTCCCTGGAGGGGCCCCCCAAAAGAGCTCGATATCACATGCAGTTATACCGGCCACATGACCTTGGAGGTGTCTATGGACAACGCCAGCTATTAGGCTTAGAAATGGAGATATGCACCAACCCCCAGAATCGGACACAACTGGACTTAATGTCAGGGGGAAACTTTTCCTTTACCTATATGAATATAAATGATATTGGGGGGTGGGAGGCATGTATGGATCTGGGAAAGGATGATGTAACAAGCCAATTGCAATATGTTAAATTTTTGAAACAAGTACATAAAATATATTGTCTATGATCTAGCTGAGATGGACAAACTGATGATATTTGACCTAGTAGAAATCTTTGACCAAATTCAAAAAAAGTTGGGACTTGTTTATTACCTATTTACAGCAGCAATGGAGGCAACCTTCAACTACTGGATTTATGAATTAGAGGAATGTTCTTAAAAGTAGATGTATGGTTGTATAGTATTATCTAAAGGGAGCAAAATAACAAGGGATAAAAATCAACAATGAGCATGAAATATTTTGATTAGTTTCAGTAGTTAGAATGTTTTGTGGGCATATACTAATGTAGATAGGTGGTAGTTTAGTCTTAGATTTAGATTTGTAAGAAATAATTTTAGTATTATATATTAAGAAAACCTGCTTTATTTGTATTGCCTTTGACCTGTTTTTTCCCCTTTTTAAACTTTATAATAAAAATGAGTATTAAAAAGAGATAGGTGAGGCTTTAAGCTGAAAAAATCAAAAGGTTGAGTTCTTCCTCTCTGCTTTCACTTGCAACCATCTTCTGTTAATACTCCAAACATCATAATCATCATCATGAGGCAGATATACACAATATCTCATGACATGGATTATACCCCAAAATACAGAGAGCATTTCAGAATTTGTACTATACACAAAGATGATGTTTTTATGATCATGGAAGGTCACTCTTAAATCAAAAACCTGCTTGCTTTTTACAAGGCAAAAGCTGTAAAACGGGTGAGCCCTGTAGGTCATAGGAGACGTGTGACTCTGAGGATAAAATAATATATATGCCTTTGCTCCAACATGAGATAGTAAAGGGTATGGAGGTGTTTTTCACTGACCCACTACCTCAGGTCACTTTATTCTGAGGAGAAGTCTTTGATGAAATAGAGAATGGGTAGAAGTCAGCTTTCATTCACTTCCTGTTAAACGAAGAACTCTACTTGAATTAAAATGGCCCAGGACGATTCGTGTCCCCATTACAGAGTTTCAGTAGCAGGTGTCCTTTGATAAGTGAAAATGATTGAAATAATTGAGTTTATATTCCTCCCTATGGACACCTGAGACTGTGTATATGATGATACTTCTGCCAGAATCATAAACTGCAGGAGTACATGGTCACTTGCCCCTAAGAATCCGATCACTTTGACTGCATTGATCAGGTCCTCCGTGTTTGTTAGGATGAGATAGAGAGTGGTTGATCCCCTTGTTGCCTCTTCTACCATCTGGCCCATAAAATTGTCTGCAAGGCAGGCAAGGAATTTGTTGGACTTTGTACTCTTGGCCGAGTCCCCCCCTCCCCCAGCAAATATCAGGATAGTTGAAATCGCCCACGACTACTATATCTCTTCTTTGTACCTGTATGGTCAACTGCTGACAGAAGGCTTCATTGAGTTCTTCATCCTGACTTGGAGGTCTGTAGTAGACGCCCATGACGAGATCATACTTTCAGGTTGATTTCCCGAATTGCAGTCTTGCATCTCTTCTGTGTCATGTTTTTGACATATAAGGCTACTCCCCCTCCCCTCCCTTCCCCTCCCCTTTGTTCCGTTTCTGTGAAAGAGGTTATAGCCCTCAATGGCTACATTCCAGTGATAGGAGTCATCTCATCAGGTTTCAGTGATGCGTATGACATCATAAGTGTGGTGTTGTGCTAAAAGTTGGAATTTGTCTTGTTTACTTCCCATGCTCTGTGCATTAGTGTAAAGACATGTAAGCCCCTGGGACCTTCCCGTGAGCTGTTTATTTGGGATTATTGTGCTCTCGCTACTTGGCACTTGTGTTTGTACAACTCTCCATTTAACCTTTTGGTGGTTCCCCGAGGTTGTGAATAAAGTACTGTTTGCAAGGAACTAGTTTAAAGTGGGCCTGATGAAGTTTGTGTTACGTTCAAACGGAATTCAGTTAAGTCCAAACAAAAGACACAATAATTTTGCACAATGGCAGGAGGGAAAGAAAACTTTACTCTTGTCAGCAGAGTCAAAACAGTGTTGCATACAAAATAAACAATGCAACAAACTTACATAGTCCTTGTAAGTATTACAGAATGTAAAGAGCATGGATTCTTCATCTTCCTTCAAATGAGCGAGCAGAGCAAAAAAGCTGAACTGTATTCTAAAACACATGTGGTTATACCCTACCACGTGTGGCTCAAACTTACTTGCTGACATAAATTAGCAGCTGCACATAATGATTAACACAGTATAAGGTTTTCTTTAACACATACATACTTGGTGTTGATTCTTTTAAAACTTATTGTAACAGTTTGCGAGTCTGTGAGCAAAAAGGTGTTTTCCTACTTGTGTGAGATCCACCCCCCTTAATCCACATTTGAAGTGATCTCCCCATAAGTTTTGCTATCATGTTCGTGTTGCTGTGATGTGGTTTGCGTGTCTAGAACAGCGTGCTGTGCTGTACCCAAGAAGAGCTTGAGTTCCTTAGTGTTCTTAAGGGTCTTACTATGGTCCTCAAATTGTTGGATCCTTTATTCCATGAGAGTCATCTGTTTACACTTGGTGCAGATGTAGTTGACTAGTTGTTCTGTGATCCCATCTGTCCTACCCAGGCCTCCCTCAAATAGCAAAAGTGGGTCATCCTTTTCAGTTTGAGAATGACCCCCCTCCCCAGCTCGCACCCTTGCACATGATCTTCTGTCTGAATTTCTTTGATATGAGTGTTGCTGCCTGGCTCAACCACATATTGCAACACTTGGTTAGAGAATCTCCAGTCATGCAGTCACATTGGGTTTGGGCAACATTTTTGATTAAATAATATTTGATTGGAACTTCATTTTATGAAATGTCCTGGAATACATTTGTGTGGAGACCAATATAGAATATAGATATTTTTAAAAATGGATTCTACATATCCAGTAAGCCAGTTAGCCATTCTTGAGTTGGTTGACTTGCATCACATGAGAATAAGAAAGTAGAAAACATTTTATTAATGATAAAGCAAACCTTCAACAGTACTCATACGTCCTGAAGTATTGTGTTACCTAATAGTATTAGATCTGGAGAAATATCAAAATCCATACTTTCAAAATACATATTTTTAAAAACCATAATTTAAAAATCCATATAAAAATACATAGCATCAAAATCCATATAAATATCCATAATTTCAAAATCTATAATTTTGACCTCCAAACCTGCCCTCTGCTTATACTTATGAATGACCTCAACTTGTACATACCCTCAACCTACACATGACTTACATACCAATTCAACTTAAGAACCAACCTAGAGAACCTATTTTTTCTGTAACCCCATGACTTTGGATTTCTGGATAAGGGGTGTCTTGTAGCAGGGTAATCATCATCATTGTCATCATCTCAGCCCTTTTGAAATGCCTGGAATAGGAGTACAACTGGCAAGTGTCTATTTTCCTGGCAATGCTTCAGGGCCTCTGGAGCAGCTGCTGAGGAAAACTGGTTTGGAGAAGTCAAAGGTCTCCAGAACTGTCTGGCAGTATGGGACACCAATATGGTCCCGCATAAGTGAATAATCTTGCTCAATTCCAAGAAAGCTTCTAGTGTTAGCATTCTGAGCAAGGCAGAGATCCTGCACATTCAATGGCCGAATCGACACATGGGCCAACAAAAGCTGGATTCAGACAGTGACACAATCCCAGCTCTCAACTGGTTTGCTGCAGATCCAGTGTTCTTCTCTTGAGCAACTAGAGCTGGCGATAGCATCAGAGATCATATATGCACATCTTCCTCCACCATAAACTGTAAGCCTAAACAGCAATAGAACATTGAAACAAATGGGATTTAGAAGTATTAATTTTAATTTGCATTGCAGAATGTAATCACACTCAACAGTGACACTATCTGCAACCCATTTATAAAAATGATGTTTTAAGGTCTGATATTATTATGTCTGAGAGTGCTGAGAGTGCCTTGGACTGCGAGAAGATCCAACCAGTCCACCCTCCAGGAAATAAAGCCCGACTGCTCACTGGAGGGAAAGATACTAGAGACAAAGTTGAAGTACTTTGGCCACATCATGAGGAGACAGGAAAGCCTAGAGAAGACAATTATGCTGGGGAAAGTGGAAGGCAAAAGGAAGAGGGGCCGACCAAGGGCAAGATGGATGGATGGCATCCTTGAAGTGACTGGACTTACCTTGAGGGAGCTGGGGGTGGTAACGGCCGACAGGGAGCTCTGGCGTGGGCTGGTCCATGAGGTCACGAAGAGTCGGAGACGACTGAAAAATGATGTTTTAAGGTCTGATATTACTATGTCACATCAATGCAATCTGGTTTTTGAGCTGATTTTTTCTTCATGAGACCATACAGAAGAAATGCTCACCGTTTGTGGAAAATGGTACCATTGATCCATCTCTAGGGCTGCTCTGGATTATCTCTTCGGAGACCAATCCAGTGGTCAGGAGGGCTTTTGAAGCGCAAAAGGAAACGCTTGAAAGATAGAAAGAAATGCATTATCACTGGGGTGCTGTGAGGTTTCCGGGTTGTATGGCCGTGTGCTAGCAGCATTTTCTCCTGACATTTCACTTGCATTTGTGGCTGGCATCTTTAGAAATATTGATGGGAGTGATCCTAGATTCATCATTGAGCCAGGAACCCCAGGTCTCGGCAGTGGCTAGGGAGCTTTTGCCCGACTAAAACTTGTGCACAGTTGGAAAGTCAGACTTGGCCATGGTGGTCCATGTTCTTGTTACATCCCATATAGATTACTGCAATATACTCTGTGTGTGATTACCTTTGAAGACTGTTTGGAAGCTTCAAATAGTCCAACAGGTGGCAGCCAGATTGTTCACCAGAGCATTGTTCAGGGAGCATACGACTCTCCTGCTGTGCCAGCTCCACTGGCTGCCAGTCTTCTACGGAGCTCAATTCAAAGTGCTGGCTTTAGTCTATAAAGCCCTAAATGGCTCCAGCCCAGCTTACTTGTCCGAACATATATCCTCCTATGAATCATTGTGGAGCTTAAGACTGTCTGGGGAGGCCCTGATTTAGGTCCCACCACCCTCGCAAGCACAACTAGCGGGGACAAGAGACAGTGCCTTATCAATAGTGGCCCCTCATCTGTGGAACCCCCCTCCCCAATGAAATTAGAACAGCCCCCTCAATCCTGTCTTTCAGGAAAAAAACTTAAGACATGATTATGGGACCAAGCATTTGAGCAGTAACTATAGCAATGCAATACTTGAGATCTCTTAAGGTGACTGACCAATGGACTGATTCTGGACTACAATTTTGAACTTGCATGAGGTTGAGCGTCTCTATCCAAAACACTTAGTGTTATGGATTTTGGAATATATGTACGTAACAAAATATAATGGAGTTGGAACTCAAGTCTAAATATGAAATTTATTTATGATTGGTATACACTTTAAACCAGGGGTCCTCAAACTTTTTAAACAGAGGGCCAGGTCACAGTCCTTCAAACTGTTGGAGGGATGGATTATAATTTGAAAAAAATGAATTAATCCCTATGCACACTGCACATCTTATTTGTAGTGCAAAAAAACACTTAAAAACAATACAATAATTAAAATGAAGAACAATTTTAACAAATATAAACTTATTAGTATTTCAATGGGAAGTGTGTGCCTGCTTTTGGCTGATGAGATAGGATTATTGTTGTTGTGTGCTTTCAAGTAATTTCAGACTTAGGTTGACCCTGAGCGAGGGCCGGGTAAATGACCTTGGAAGGCGGTATCTGGCCCTCAGGCCTTAGTTTGAGGACCCCTGCTTTAAACACTTAGTTCTACGATAAATTTATATTCAATAGCTTTTAATAGTTTTGTCCATTAAACAAAGTTTGTTTACACTGAACCATCAGAAATCAAAGTTGGACAGCCACACATGTGTTCAGTTTTATAATCTGTAGCGTTTGTATTTCAGAATCCTGGATAAGGGATGTTCAACTAATAATAAAAATGAATCTCACAAAACCAATTGGCAAATTTGTAAAACAAAAGGAGGGCCCCCTGGTGACACAGCAGGTTAAACCACTGAGCTGCTGAACTTGCTGACCGAAAGGTTGGCAGGTCGAATCCAGGGAGTGGGGTGAGCTCCTGCTGTTAGGCCCAGCTTCTGCCAACCTAGCAGTGTGAAAACATGCAAATGTGAGTAGATCAATAGGTACCACCATGGATAAACGTGCTCCATGCAGCCATGCCAGCCACATGACCTTGGAGGTGTCTACGGACAATGCCGGCTCTTCGGCTTAGAAATGGAGATGAGCACCACCACCCCAGATTTGGACACAACTAGACTTAATGTTAAGGGGAAACCTTTACCTTTTTTACTTAACACAATAATGAAAACCCCCTGGGATTCACTATGGGTTTCAACCATTGAACTCACCATCTCTTCTTGTGAATCAATCACAGCCAGAGAGGAATTGTGAGAAGAACAGTGGAGGTTACTAGATGTCCAGTTTCCTTCAGCCTCTGAAAAGTAGTAACATTTCCTCTGGAACCCAATCCAGCCATTTGGACAGAGATCACAAGGGAGGAGAGGAGCAGGAGCTGGGCATGTTTCACATCTTATCACTAGAGGTAATATATACATATACATAATTAGTTAACATTAACAATTTACAAATTGACACCCACCATTCTGACCAACTCAGTATCAACCCATGAACAATTAGTTTACTCATATCCTATCATAATGTTTTCTTATTCTGGTCTCCATTATTGCATATTCTTCTGTTAAAAGTGAAGTCCTTCTTTAACTTCCTAACTTTTATTGAGTCGTGCTAATCATATTAGACAAATGTTTTAAAGTATGTTTATTTCTTATTGTAAATTTGTTTTTATAGGCTATTATTTAACATATGCATATTGTTTTGTATGGTCTTTTATATAATGTAAGCCATTTTGCATCCTGTTTAGGGAGAAAAGTGGGATATAAATAAAGATATTATTATTATTATTATTATTATTATTATTATTAGAAACACAACAAGATGAGTCCACAGCAGACATTCTGCTGGCTGTTTATTATTATTATTATTATTATTATTATTATTATTATCATTATTATTATTATTATTATTATTCCCTTTATAAGACAGATTCCCAAGGTATTATCTGGCTCAGTAATGTTTCAGAATGATAAACAAACACATGGCTATACAGTGCAACTCTCATATCAACAAGGGATTCCTTCCAAAATACCCCACTAGCATGGATATCTGAAACAGTGAATAGTAGCAAACCTATATTTTGACTATATTTGGGCTGAAAGAAGACTGTGATGGCAATTGAGGACCTATAGCCACCCACAAACACTGATGAGGGTAAGGGAAACCACAGATAGCAAATCTGTGGACAAGAGGTTGTACTGTATATCCCAGGCCTGGGCAAACTTCCTACCAGCTGTTAGGAATTGTGGGAGTTGAAGTCCAAAATACCTGGAGGGCCAAAGTTTGCCAGGCCTTGTATATCCTACACTATAGGATGTTAACAGAGAGGACCTATAATCACCTACACACACTTCCTGGGAGGGAAGAGCAGGTTGGAGTGAGGGCAAGTGAAACCACGAATGAATCTGTAGATAAGAGGTTTACCTGTATATCATACCAAAACCTAGAAGAATGGTCACCCAGAGTTTCAGAATTTTTCATGATAACTATGTTAGACAGACTATAACAAAAAATATGAGTGAAATTATTTTGGGCAAAACAGAAATTTAATCCACGGTAATCAGTAACATTCTAGATTCCTCGACATTAAGAATCTTTGAAGTTCTAAAATAAAATGATAGAAGTACATGCCAAGAAAATCAGTAAAGCTCTTTACTCACCAGATAATACAATGATAGAAATGATGAGAATGATAATTATTATCAGGTTCCCAATTGTCATGCTCAAAATTGGTCTGCATTTTTCATTGGATCCTTTCTTACTTCTGAGGCATAAACAGCTTTTCCATGCAGAACCTTGAAGGAATTAATAGAAAGTGTGACGATCCAAGATACATCTACCCTTCTTACAAGAATGAAGAATCATGCTCAGTGAAAGAAGAGTAGTTGAGATTGGCAACTTTTTAAAACATTGGTTTGCTATTTTAAAAAAGAGATCTTGGGATGCAGGGGCAAATTGTAGCCAGTTCCAGCTCAGAACCTAAGCACTAAGATCTCTTCTACATATAAAATCCAGATTATCTGCTTTGAACTGGATTATATGGCAGTGTAGATTCATATAATCCAGTTCAAAGTAGATAATATGGATTATCTGCTTTGATAGTCTGGATGTAGAAGGGACCTCACTTTCATCTCATGTGATCAGTGAATGCATCTATCTTATGGGATTTGGGAGGCAAAGAAGATACTTCTGCCTGAGATACCACAACTTACTATGTTTAGAGTACTCTTTCTTCAAACGAGGTTCTTCTATTTCGATGCTTTCCTCCATTATTGCATTTTCTTTTGCATGTGGATCCAAGGCACATCTGGATTGCCATGCTTCTTTTCTTTCCTGAGTTTCAACCATCTATTTTCCTTTCAAATCAGTTTACAGATGTTGGGTAGTCAATTATTCTACTTCATGTGACGTGGTCAGAGAAAACACACCATAAGTACCATTTAACCATGCACTTTAGTCTCTGCCTTGGTCCAGCCAAACTGGGCTGCCTGTTTTGCCCAGTTGTCCTATGGAAAATGATCCTCGGGTCTGCTCTTATGGCTAATGTTAAGAGCGCTGCTCCAGATGAGGAAGTATCTGTATGGTGTTCTGCCAACACACTCTCCCATTGAAGTCTTTACCCAAGATTTATCTGTGGAGAACCATGGAAAGAGTGCCATTTTTTCTAAATAGCTTTAATAATTTTTTAAAGTATTATTTCCATACATAGAAGTTATCTTCCAATCTCTATGTTAATGGGGATCTTAACAGCTTCACACATTTTAAGTTCAATATGATGTTATGATGCAACAATTTATATGTGTGCAGTAAAACCCCTGTATCCATGGGGGATGTATTCCTTGCTAGAAGGGGTACCCAAAACTGCAAATTTACCTGATTTTGTTTTCCCAGCTTACCATGGAGTTACCTTGGAAGACTCAGAAATTCCTAGGGTTTGATCAGTTCATGATGAAGAATATGAATTATCAATTTGTTTTTCTGTCCAAGTCTTTTTCTGTCTAATGGCGATGTTTCCCCTGCTTCTTTGCCAACTTTTGGATCTTCTCGCACTCCTTGAACAGATTCGAGAGATAGGCCAAAACTAGCAAAATAAAGTTTAACAGGAACAAATGCAAGATACTCCACTTAGGAAGAAAAAATGAAATGCAAAGATGCAGAATGGGGGATGCCTGGCTTGATAACAGTAAGTATAAAAAAATATTGGAGTCCTGGTGGATAGCAAGTTAAACATGAACCAACAATGTGATGTGGTGGCAAAAAAGCCAATGCGATTTTGGCCAGCATAAATAGGAGTCTAGTGTCTAAATCCAGGGAAGTCATGCTACTCCTCTATTCTGCCTTGGTCAGACCACACCTGGAATCACAGTGTCCATTTCTGGGCACCACAATTGAAGGGAGATGGAATGTGTCCAGAGGAGGGTGACTAAAATGATCAAATGAATAAGCCTTTTGAGGAGTGGCTTAAAAGAGCTGGGCATGTTTAGCCTTCAGAAGAGAAAGCTGAGAGGTGACATGTTGAGGGCCATGTATAAATATATGTGAGGGAAAGTCATAGGGAGGGGTTTGCACCAGCTGACACCTATCAGAATAGCAGCCAATAATGAAAGGACCGAAGCAATAACATCTCTGGATCATCCCCTGTTCAGATATCAGCCAACATACCAACACTTTAAATCAAGAAACAGCTTCCTTAGATCTACAGTGATACTTGCAGGAACACCTCAGCAAGCGAGAGTCCAAAAGTGGAAGGCTAGAACCCGGAACCTAAATCAATGGCTGATCTGGATGAGAGACTCCCTCCTGGGCACACAAAAGGCTGGGTGACTTGGAAGGCACTGAACAGACTGCGCTCTGGCACCAGGAGGGGCAGAGCCAGTCTTCAGAAATGGGGTTACGAAGTGGAGTCCACGACATGCGAGTGTGGAGAAGAACAAACCACAAACGACTTACTATAATGCAACCTGAGCCCTGCCACATGCACAATGGAGGACCTTCTTACAGCACCAGAGGCACTCCAAGCGGGCCACTACTGGTCAAAGGACATTTAGTATAATGTCAAGTTTTAAACTTTGTTTGTGTCTTTCAGTACATAACAACTGTACCGTCAACTTGCTTCTGACACAATAAATAATTAAAACCTTGGGCTGGTGATACTCTCTCAGCCACAGAAGTAAATCCACCTCTGGGAACACACCTTGGCAAGGAAACCCTTCCCTCGTTCGTTCACTTTAAGACCTCAGGAATTATTCAAACGCACACAGCAGCCACACACACACACACACAAACACTGGAGAGGAAAGCTTCGAATAGGACTGATGGGAAGGCGAGGGGGGTACAAGGGACCCCAAATGAAGAAAAGCACTTACCCGCCGAGTAGAAGGTCGGCCGTCTCGGTTCACTTCCCTTCGTAAGCCTCGGGATCCCAAAGGTGCGGAGTGAAGGGAAAGCAGTGAGTGGATTCCAGACCCATTGTGGGCGCAACAAATCAGAAAAGGGCAGGGCGACCAAGCAGCTCACCAATGAACAAAAGCCACGGCACTGTAGACAGATGAATCTCAGTTTGGGAAAGCACAAAACAGCGCAGAAGAAGAAGGCGTACGTTTGGAGCCATGGGAACTCAAAACTTGAGTCTCTGGGATCTCTGATCCCCGCTATTCAAATGGCCGTGTCACGTCTGAAACGCAGTGGGTAAAAAACCGCAAGGATGCATGGTCTGGAATTACTTAATCAGCTAATAACACCGGCAACACTCCTAAGGACCGAGCAGAGTCCAGGCAGCGCATTTTGGCAGTTTGAGAGCTGGCAACCAGTCACCCTGGGGAGCAAGTTGAGGGCGAAACACACGGGTAGAATACGGCAAAGGCGAATGGGCTGGGTATTATTATCATGCAGTTATAATTTAGGCAGGAGCAGGTTCGAATCACCGCTTGGGTGGCCAAGGAATGGGCCGGGAAAGTCGCACTCTCTCAACCTCTGAGACAAAAAAAACAAAAAAAAAACCCCCTCCGAACTATGTTTTGCAAGAGAACTCCGTGGGAGGTTATGCTTGAGGAAGTCAGAAATGGCTTGAAGGCAGACGACAAAACTGGGGAGGGATGTTCGTAATGTAGGGGCGAGGAGGGGAGGCGAGTGGCAGGAAGAAGGGGCGCCAAAGGGAGAGGAGGGCGCGGAGAAGCCGGAGCCGAAGCGAGATCAAAGGCAGGCACCCTCAAACTGCAGCCCTCCAGCTGTTTGGGCCTCCAATTCCCAGAAACCCTAACGAGCTTGTTCAATTGTCAGGAATTCTGGGAGATGAAAGCCCAAACAGCCGGAGGGCCGCAGTTTGAGGGTGCCCGCCAAAGGGAAGTTTCCCCTCAGCAGGGCGGCGTGATTTCTCCTCTTGGAGGGCGAAAACGGCCCCGAGCAATTGGGTGAATTTAAGCCAAGCCTCCCGCGGCCTCGGGGTGAAGATCAGTCTCCGCTGGAAGAAAAACCACGCTGCGGAGGAGTCCCTGGGGCTTCCCAAGGAACCTTTCCCGGCAGGAGAGCTGCCAGCTGTCTGCCTAGTCCTTCCGGCCTTTGGCAAAAAGGCGCAGAGAAGACCGAGCTTCGCGTTCCCCTTCGGCCAGGTTACTCAAGATACGGTTCCATTATCCGGAAATAGCCCACAAGGGGGCGCTAGAGAGAGGATAGTCCATTTTATGGGAAGGAAGGAGTTGAAGGAGGAAAGCCATTCCCCCTGTTTCCATTGGTTATTCCCACTTCCCACATCATAAATGAGGGGGCATGGGTGGGCAGAGGCGGCCCTAGGTAATTTTCAACGGTAAGCAAGTATTTTGGTGCCCCCCCCCAACCAATCACTGATATATATTTTCTGTTCGTCGTGGGAGTTCTGTGTGCCATATTTGGTTCAATTCCATCATTAGTGGAGTTCAGAATGCTCTTTGATTGTAGGTGAACTATACATCCCAGTAACTACAACTCGCATATGTCAAGGTCTAGTTTCCCCCAAGAGCGCCTCAAGAGTGCCCCTGGGCAAAATCTACTATATTGCAAATGCTTACTTTGCGTAATGGGTTGAGCCACCCCTGTGGGTGGGAGAAATAAAAGGAAAACAGGGAGGGCCTTTTCCCTGTAAAATTATTATTACTATATTAATTTATACCCTGCTTTATCTCCCCGAAGGTGACTCAAAGCGGCTTGACATAAAAGCATCAAAATGGACAATAGCTCTCTGTCTAGCACCCCCTTGTGGCCTCCACCGGATAGTGAAACTACCCAAAGAAGATAGATTCTGTTCTTAAGTTGGACAGGTACATTTTTAGTGTATCCTCTCTCTCTCTCTCTCTCCATATATATATATACACACACACACACACACACACACACACACACACACACACACACATATATATATATCCCTGTGAGAATTTGATGTTGAAAAAATGGCTTGTTGTGGAAACAAGGATTGGGGATAAAGCTTCAGTTGAGATATTTATATCTCAGCTGAACCTTTATCCCGAATCCTTGTTTCCACAACAAGCCATTTTTTTCAACATCTAATTCTCACAGGGACAGAAAGTGAGGTGTAATCTGAACAGGGGCACAGATAGTTAAAAAAAAAACAAAAACCACACACACGCACACAGGCTTTGGGTAGCATAGGGAAGAGTTAACACCCCTGTGGTATTGGCACAAGAAAAAGTAGCAGAAAGCACTGGCGTGTAATCACCCTTTCACCAGCCTGGCTGAATGGTTTCAGCGCTGAAGAAGAGAGTTCAAATCTCCACTTGGGCATTGAGACCAGCCATACTTCCAGCCTCAGAGACAAAACTCCTTTTGTATTGTTGAAGGCTTTCATGGCTGGAATCAATAGGTTCTTCTGGGTTTTTTCGGGCTATATGGCCATGTTCTAGAGGCATTTCTCCTGACGTTTCGCCTGCATCTATGGCAAGCATCCTCACTACCTCTGAAGATACTTGCCATAGATGCAGGCGAAACGTCAGGAGAAATGCCTCTAGAACATGGCCATATAGCCCGAAAAAACCCAGAAGAACCTATTAAAACTCCTTTTAATAAATCTTGTCAAGAAACCCACTGTGATAGATTCACCTTAGGAAGTCAGAAATGGCTGGCAGGCACACAAAAACACCCATTAAAACACAAAACCAGAGAGGAGAGCTTGTAATGAGTTGAGGGAACCAGGGGCTACCAGGCAAATAGGGGTGGAGCTGCATAGAGTGGAAGAGGGTCTCTCTCCTAAGTCTGGGTCAGGAGCTGGGGATCTGGGAAGCAGAGGGAGCCAGCTCCAGACCCAGATTCAGGGGAAAGCATTCCCTTTGAATCCACTGGGTTCCTGGCTCACAAGCGAAAACCCATGTCTTATACACTCTCTGGGAAGTGTCATAAATCAAAAAGAAAGGGAAGGGCAAAAACCCATGTTCTCACAGGCTACATGGACTCAAGAGCATGGGGAAGTAAATAAAATTTACCAGCGAGAGAGCTCTGTTTGATAATATTCCTAGACAAACAAAGAATTACAGTCAAGGCATTATAAGAGCTTTTAGATGGCTTTGGAAATGGGGAAGAATAAAGATCAGCTCAAGATCATAAAATACATGATAGGAGCTACCCAAGCAACAGTTGCCTTAGGATGGAAAGGTGAAGGGAAAGGGGAATTAAAAATGGTTTGAATATTTATCAGAGTACAGGCTCCAAGATTACATAGCAGAAAGGAGAACAAAATATACCCAAAGGAGAACTGGGAGCTGAAGTGGAAAATATAAGGAATTGAACCAAAATACTTCATGATCAAACAAATAATATAAATCAAAGAGTAGAGTTACAACTGTTCCCAGAGGGAGGGGGAGGGGGAAATTGGATAGGTATAAGTAATAGATGTGTAGAACGTAAAAGATAGAATGTAATCATAGAATGTGTTACATGGGGTAAAAAAATAATACTATATTGTCGTGTAAATGCAAGTGAGACAATGTTACAAATTAGTCACATCTAACCAAATAATAAGAAAAGATTGTTTTGCAAACTCCAGAATGGTTACAATGACCTAAGAGCCAATACTGTGTTACAATGCAGTTGTTGGTGACTTTACTTGGATTACATATTAATTTCTACACTACAAAATAGCAGATTGCCCCCTCACTACCAACATTCTTCAGCTGATTTTCACATTCTTTTGTGCACATTAATAAGCATCTACAACTCCAATGGTAGCAGAGGGTGCTTCTCCACCCTTTCCTGAGGAGAGTTTTCAGGAGAGAAGCCGGAAACCTTGTGATATGTAGACTGGGGGTCAAAGTGTTGTGCTACAGGCCTGGAAACACCTATGACCATTGCTCCACATAAAAGTCCAGAAATATAAGCAAACAATTTATTGTAAAACACATAAAAAGCATATTTAAAAAAAGCAGGAATGAGAATAAGACAGATATATAAGGAAGATTATTCTTAAAGTTTAATTATTACATTTGGCCCTGCCATAGGTTTTAAATGTCGTTGTGTTACTGCTATTGTTTATTGTTTATTTTTTGTTATAAGTTTTATTTTATTGTCTGTATTAATTGTTGTTAGTGCTTTTATCATTGATTTATTGTGGGCTCGGCCTCATGTAAGCTGCACCAAGTCCCTCGGTAGATGGTAGCGGGTATAAATAAAGATTATCATTATTATTATTCCAAAAAGGTTTTGCAATGAGTGATAACCAAACAATAATCCAAACCTCTCATAAATTTCCACAGGTGATAAGGTCCAGGAACAGCCTGAAATTACTGGGTATAGTATAAGTCCATAGGCAAAAAGGTATCACTAGTAAAACTTGAACAGGAGTTCATAAACAGGAACATAGAAAACTTCTAGGAATATAATCCAAAACCAAAGCTTGACTTGAACCAAGAACAAGACAACTCATGCTTAGTTTTTCACTCTAACACAACATTGCCTGAACTGCCTACAATACAAGCATGATATTTTCTGATTTTTGGCAGTTCTTCATATTGCCCAAAACGACTGAGTAAACAAGGTGTAAAGGGAAGAGAGGCTAAGAGAATGTCCAATGTTTTGAAAAAATGAGGTGTCACCTCACAGCAGTTGCTCCCAATGAAGACACAGGAACGCACTCTGGTATCAAAAAGAATCTTTACTACTGGATACAAGGACATGTGAAAAGCCGAGATTGCCCGGCAACTGCCAGTCACTCCTTATATACACACCCCCTCAACTGAAAGTACGTTTCTTGCCAAGTCAAAACCCCGCGCAATATTCCCGCCAAACTATTAGCCGTTGTCTTCCAAGGTCGACAGCTGCAAAGTTCTTATCAATGTCCTACGTCAGGACTCTAGTTTTCAGCGCCAAAACTGAGGGCCTGGAAACTGGATCCTGACATTGAGGGATTTAGATAATGCTGGTCTTTAGATATATCCCCCACCCAAAATTTGGACTTAAGGGGGCTTACATTAAATAAATACAACATAGTAAAAATAAATACAATACAATACAATAAAAACAAAATAGTAAAGAATTGCAAAAGACCAGCATTAAAAATAAGACTAGAATCATTGACCACATTATAACAATCTAAAATATACAGTTAAACATCTTGGTATCCCTACAAATGTCCCAGTTCTCAAACAAAGTAAGTTTTGTAGGTGTAGAGCACCGGGGGAGATTAGGGCATCATCATCCCTCCTCGCCTTCAGGAGGAGGGTGAAAACTTGGTTATGGGACCAGGCCTTTGGGCACTCTGGTAATTAAATCACTCAATTAGGCAAGTAAGACCAGCAGGATGGTTGAATGGAACGAAAATCTAGATCTAGGTGTTAACAAACACTGACCATGTAAGAGGAAAAACTGGGTTTGTATTTGGTTTTAATGATTTTATTGATTTTATGGTTATATTGCATGCATGTCATCTGTGAATTGTTGTAATTTTATGTAAATTTGTGTATGATTGTTTATGACGCAGGCATCAAATCGTGCCTTGCTCCTGTAAGCCGCCCTGAGTCCCCTTCGGGGTGAGAAGGGCGGGGTATAAGAACCCCAAATAAATAAATAAATAAATATTGTGAAGACAATAACTTTATAAACAAACATAGAATCAAACCCTGGTTTCCACTAATACTATGGCTGGCATCCTGTTGGATAGTTTGAATGAGAGTAGACTCAACTTTTGAAAGGTCACAACTCTGTTTTTCAATAGAGTTAGAATGGTGTGGATATAGCGTAGCTTGATTTCAATAAGGCTTTTGACACAGTCCCCATGATTTCTTGCAACAAACTAGTAAAATGTGGGCCACACAATATTACTGTCAGATGGATTTGTAATTGGTTAAGTGAACGAACCCAAAGGGTGATCACCAATGGTTCCTCTTCATCCTGGAAAGAAAGTCTTGAGAGATCGGACATCTAGTCTTGACTCTATCCTTGTTTTTCTGCCTCAGCTTGCTCAGTGTTTATAAAGCTGATCCCTACGAGAAAGCTCAAGTGTCCAGTCTTCTGGAAAAAAATTCTGCAAGGACTGAGTGGACTTCTACATAGGGCAAGAGGCTGAAAACAAAGCAACGCTGAAGTACATTTTGAAGGGCCTCTGTGCATAATAGAGCAGGAATCAAGGCTCAGTTTCTGCAATGCCTTTAAACATGTCTTTGCTACAGATCCAGCGTTCTTCTCTTGTGCAGCTGGAGCTGGCAACAGCTTTATGGTTCAAATATGCACATCTCCTTCCCATTTCAGTTGGAAGTGTGAAGAACCTGAGGAACAACAAAACTCTCAGGCAAAGAAATTACTGGTAATCCAATGCCACCTTTTGAAACACCAAGACTGAGCCAGATTATTTCCTGAGGTTGTTATCACTCAGAATGTTAAAATTAACATTCACTAAAGGCTTGAGTAATCCACAGCCTGTATAACACATTTCTTAAACCTCTTGTTGCAGTAATCCTGCTCTTCTCCTGTGATGAGTCATCAGCATAGTAACTGTCATCATATATTTTATGACTAGTGAAATCTAATCATTCCAAGGGAGGAGAGTTCTGCTCCAACAGGGCAGAATAGAATAGTCTATTACTTTAGCTTGAAATGTGTTTTTCTTATGCATTTGTTATCCATATACAGCCTCATCACACTAGAGCAGTGGTCCTCAACCTGTGGGTCTCCAGGTGTTTTGGCCTACAAATCCCAGAAATCCCAGCCAGTTTACCAGCTGTTAGGATTTCTGGAAGCTGAAGGCCAAAACATCTTGGCACCCACAGGTTGAGAACCACTGCACTAGAGCATAGATTCTGTCCCCTTCTGAATTGAAGAGTTTGTAGTTTAGTGAGGCTCAGAACCTGTCTGGCTGAGCAGATTAAAAGCCTTTCCCTAAACTACAAGCTCCAGAATTTAGCAGGAGGCAGAAACTAGATTCAAAGTGGATCCATGTTCTTGTGTGATGAGGTCCATAGACTTGCTTGGCATGTTGTTTGGTTGGTTGTCCCTTATGGATCTGCTCTCAGTTTTAGCTTTCTGTTATCTGCATGGGCTTATCCACATATTTATTTAGATCTCATCCTTCCTGGCTACGGGCCTGCCTGACACGATAAATAAATAAAATAATTCTTTAATTCTTACTTTAACAATTTTAATTTCTGTTATTAAGGTCCACAATAAAGTTCATTTTTCATTTGTCTCATTGGTTGGGTGTCAGCTTACTAGCAGATTGGTATTTAATGAAACATAACAAATTTAGAGGCCAGAAAGTTATGTTGCTGTTCTTTGATACAAACTTATGTTTCATTATATATTACTGTTTGATATATCTTGTGGAAAATCTCTACAAAGAAGCAGAAGCTCTCCATAAGAAAAACTTTTGCGTAGAAACCAGTGTTAGAAATTTCCTTCTACAAGAAAATAAAAGACAGAAAAGCTGTTGCTGTTAAGAAGAAATCTGTTTAGAGAAGCTTTGGTTGGAAATTATTTTCTATAACGCTGCCCTGAGTCACCTTTGGGCTGAAATGGGTGGGATAAAAATGACATAAATAAGTATAAAAAGAAAGAATAATCAGCACTGTGAATACAACATACCGTATATACTCGAGTATAAGCCGACCCGAATATAAGACGAGGCACCTAATTTTACCACAAAAATGGGAAAATGATTGACTCGGGTATAAGCCGAGGATGGGAAATGCAGCAGCTAATGGTAAATTTAAAAATAAAAATAGATACAAATTCAAATACATTAATTGAGGCATCAGTAGGTTATTTAAAAAAAATGTACATAAAGTTGTAATTTAAGATAAGACTGCCCAGCTCTGATTAAACCATTATTCTAACCTTCTTCAATGTAAATGTACTGATGTATCTTTCCAATAATAATAGAGTAAAATAATGGAAATGTAATAATAACAGTAATGATAGTGTAAAATGATAAATGTAATCATAACAATAATAAATGGAGTAAAATAATAAATGCAATAATAACAAAAACCATAAAGTAAAATAATAAATTTAATAATAATAAGGGATAAAGTAAAATAATAAATGTAATAACAACAATAACTGAGTAAAATAATAAATAACCTTGACTTGAGTATAAGCCGAGGGGGATTTTTTCAGCCTTAAAAAAGACTGAAAAACTAGGTTTATACTCGAGTATATACAGTACTTATGTTTCATTGTATATTAATGCTTGTTGTATCTTTTACAAGCTGTGGAAACAAGTATATGCTTGGGATTGTTCTACTATTGTAATAGTGGATTAGTGTTTTTGTAGTTATCAAGCAATACCTGCTGAAATCTCCTCTTCCACACAAATACTGAAGGTACAGAAGCCTCCCCAGTTTTTGACCTGCCAACCCTAATCTAGGCATTTTTTGCTTCAAACAGAATAGAAAAGAGACCTACCATTCCATGAAAATGCTGCCATTAATCCATCTCCAAGGTTGACCTGAATTTTTCCGGAGACCAATCCAGTGATCAGGAGGACTTTTGTAACGTAAAAAGAAATCCTTAATCAAGGAAGGAAGGAAACACAGATTACCAACTGCAGGTTGATGTACCTCTCTTTTAAGAACTAGATGAAGCAAAAATAAAACCAATGGTTTAAACAGTGAAAGAACCATAGCCTATTCCAATAGTTGTGAACATGTGAAGCTGGTCCATCTCCACCCTCAATCCTCTCATAATCTTCTACACATAATCTTCTCACATCTTCCACACAATCAACAATTGGACCACACAGTTTATAGAAAACTTACACACATGGATAGATACCTACATAAAAACTTCAACCATCACCCAAGTCCAAAAAAGGAAGCACAATTAAAGCCATGGCAGACTGTACAAACAGAATCTGCAAATCCCACCTACTCCGAGGTGAATTGAATCACCTAAACAGGACTCTACATGCCAATGGATACTCCACCTCAGACATCAGAAGAACTGAAAGACCAAGAATAAGCCACGAGAATAAAGACAAAGATCCACCCTGAGGAAAAGTGTTCTTATTATACTGACTGCATAGGGAAGCTGATGAAGAAACACAACTTACAAACTATCTACAGACCCACTATGGAAATCCACCAAATGCTACATTCAGGAAAGGGCAAGAGGGATCCTTTCACCTCTGCAGAAGTCTACCATAAAACATGCAGCTGTGGAAGAGTCTAGATAGGGACCACCAAACGCAGCATTGCCCAAACATGAATCAAGGAACATGAAAGACACTACAGACCAAGTTTGCGGCTTCTGTTTTATTCAATCTGTTTGATATCAGGATATATATATATATATATATATATATATATATATATATATATGTTCTTTCTTAGAAAAAAACCCAAAGCAAATTCTTATATAATCAACCAAGAAAACAAAACAAACCAGTTGATACAGCATTTTTTGAAAATATAATAATAATTTAATGAAAGATCTGAAATCAACTGTGCTCTGAATATTTATACTTACCAGTGTTTCCTGGGAGCCAACCAAAGCCAAGGAGGCATTATGGGAGGAGCAGTGTCTGTTGCCAGAGGTCCAGTTTCCTTCCATCGGTGAAAAGTAGTAGCATTTCCTTTGGTATCCCAGCCAATCTTTTGGACAAGGATCAGCAGGGAGAAGATCTGGACATCTTTCATTTCTTCTTTCTGGTGATTCAAAGGATTTAATAAACTAGAATGTTAACAGCATTGGCCAAACTATACCTGTCAGAATGTCAGCACTAGAAAGATTAAGTTGAGCATAAATGCAATGGATCTATTAACAAACATTCTAGACTGCTCACAAGTATGCTAAGACTCTTTCAAAGTTTAATAGAATTGATAGATTGCACAGTATAATTAGACTAATGTAGTTCTTCACTCACCTGCAAACAAAATGGCAGGGATCAGAATAATAATAAGTGTCATTGTCAAAATGACACCTGAACATTTTGCAGTGATGACCCACTCTCCTCTTTCACTCTTGTAGCACCAACGGTTGTTCCAAGAAGACCCTTAAAAGTAAGAAAAAAGCCGGATGAATTTGTACCCAAGTGAATCAAACAATATTGTGTAGAAGCTCAAGAGAAAACATCAGTGAATAAGAGGAGCTTAGTAATGATAAAGGTTTCCCCTGACATTAAATCTAGTTGTGTCTGACTCTGGGAGGTGGTGCTCCATTTCTAAGCCAAAGAGCTGGCATTGTCCATAGACAACTCCGAGGTCATGTGGCCAGCATGACTGCATAGAGTGCTGTTACCTTCCCACAGAAGTGGTACCTACCTATTGATCTACTCACAATTGCATGTTTTCAAACTGCTAGTTTGGCAGAAGCTGGGCCTATCAACAGGAGCTCACCCCACTCCCTGGATTCGAACCGCCAACCTTTCAGTCAGCAAGTTCAGCAACTAAGTGGTTTAACCCACTATGCCACCAGGAGGCCCTGAGAGGAGCTTAAGAAAGTGAAATTACTTTTTAGGCAGGATCATCAGGGTTTTTTTCTTTTCATTTTACCACGCTTCCTCTTTAAATATCCATCCACAACTCCTTTCCAAGAATGTCTTTCTTGAAAGCCAGCAATCAAGATGTCAAGGACACAGCTTCTTCTACTTATTCCCTGCTCACAACACATCTGTATTGTTGGTATCACTGTCTAGAATATCCTGAAAATTTAACTTTTAACCCATTGCCTGAAGTCATATCCCACATCACCCCAATGAAAGATGCAGTTATGTTTCCTGAAGGCCACAGTGTTGATTTTCTAACATTGCCACTCAACTAGAGCAACCAGCTCTAGCACAAAGTAGGAATGACTGTCTCCTAACAGGTACAACTTTACAGAAGAGTTGACTGTAGTGAGGATGTCCATGGACTATGCCCTTAACTCAAAGCTAGAGAAGGAATCTGCTGCTGAAATGTCCCTTCCCCAATTGGGTTTATACATAGATCAAATATCTGCAAACATCTCACATTAGGGATAGGGGAATTCCCTGTCTATCCCACAGTTCTCCCCAGGCTAGTACGAAAGAACAAAAAGATACCCCTCTCCCCTTATATCGAAAAGTCTGCGGTCTTCCTCTTCTGCCTCCGTGGAGTTGGAAGAGGAGAAGGATGAAGAGGAAGGGGCTGGAGATTCTGGGCAGATGGTCAGGCCTGCTCAGGAGGAAGAACAAGAGGAGGGAGGCATGCTGCTTGTTCCTACTTTTGAAGAACGCCACTGAAGGGAGCAACAAGCAAGACATAGATCAGCCAGGATTGCTGAAAAGACAGTCAGACCATCCCCAAGAGACACATGTGCTGTTGACTGAGGGCTCTAAATCAGGAGCAGGAGAAACAGCCCTCACTGGCAGCAACTGATCCAATTGCCTAGTCTTTGTTCCTGAATCTGTTCCAGCAAGAATCCTTGTCTTTGTGTTTTTGCCTTGAGAAGAAACTACCAAAGACTTTACTTTACTCAGTGAAGAGACTTTTACCTTGTTTTGTGAACTTGTCTTTTGTGAACTTGCTTTTGTGTATTTGAGTGTGCTACTTTAAATTTTGCTGATGTAAAACTTTTTGAGTTCCTTTAAACTTAGTGTTGGGACCCCCCGGTGACTCCTTGGGTTAAACCACTGAGCTGTTGAGCTTGTTGACCAAAAGGTCACAGGTTCAAATCCAGGGAGCGGTGAGAGTTTCCACTGTTAGCCCCAGCTTCTGCCAACCTAGCAGTTCGAAAACATGCATATGTGAGTAGATCAATAGATACTGCTCCGGTGGGAAGGTAATGGCGTTCCATGCAGTCATGCTGGCCACATGATCTTGGAGGCGTCTACGGACAACGCTGGCTCTTCAGTTTAGAAATGGAGATTAATCCAACACCCAGAGTTGGATATGACTCGACTTAATGTCAGGGGACAACCTTTACCTTTTAAAAACTTGGTGTTAAGGCTATTCTTGGGACAAAACAGGACATCTTGGAGCCATGGACCTATATATTCTTTCTGTATGGTATGCATACATCCAAGGAGCACAATACACACACTGTGAGCAGAAAAACTGCCTTCTACCCAGGGAGCAGGGATGCTTGTCTTTCTTGGATGTAGGTTAACAGGCTGAATATCCAATTTGGGTTGGAAGTGGATTCATATCTTTTCTGGAAATAAAGTACTGTCGATCTCACCACACTCACCTTTTTTAAAATCCTCAGACGATCTTATGCCCAAAGGTATTTTGACTTCTTCAATCACATCTTCATTCTCTTCTTCATTTTGGTTCATTTGGGCTTCTATTGTATGACCTTCAGCCATTTTTCTTGAGAATATGCAGATCTTAATTGTCTACATGAAGCCAGTTCTTGATGCAGATTCTATTCATGTGATATGATCAGAGAAAACAAACTTCAGATACCATTTAATCGTGCACTTTAATCTGTGCCTTTGCCCATCCAAACTGGCAATGCAATCTTTCCCTCTCGTCCTATATAAAACTGTTGTTTTGTCTGCTCTTCCAATCAATATAAATAGCCCAAGTTTTCATTTCCTGAAGTGAAAAAGTGTGTCTCCAAGATTAATCTGTATTGGAGGGGAGGGGGAATGCACAGAATACAAATAGTTTATACTGTTTTCAATTCTACATGCAGTGTACTTTTGTTACACAGTTTCTTTTGCCAGGCTGTTTTAGCTTTGCTTCTACAGCAGTGTTCCTCGATCTGGGGGTCGGGATCCGGGAGGGGGGGGGGTCATGAGGGGGTTTCAGAGGGGTCACCAAAGACACATATTTCTAATGGTCTTAGGAATCCCTTTGGCAGAGAATGCTGAAGATTTCTCTGCCTGTCCTTCTCTTCCTTTTTGGAAACAGATGGCAAATCCTCTCACCAAAAGCCCTTCTCCTACTCCTAATCAGCCAAGGGGAGGGCTGTTTCTGCGACTCCAAGCGAGGGGGGGGGGAGAGCAGGTGTGCTTGGCGCATGGCAGCATGGTGTGCATGCTCAGGTGAGGGAGAGTGAAGGATTCTCATGGCATCGAGTCCTTTCAAGGCAGAGAGAAAAGCATCCATGCAATGTGGAACTGAGAGTGATCCAGCAGCAGCAGAAGCAGCTTAGGTGATTTGTAACACAATGTATTAGAAAAAGTCAGTCTTTCCTTCTGTTTATTATCAATGCTCCCATTAGAAAATGCATCAGGATGTGGGTGAACTAAAACTCCCAAAATTGGAGGTCAATCCTCCCCAAATCCCACCAGTACTCACAATTAGCCATATTGGGTCTGTGTGCTAAGTTTGGTTCAGATCCATTGTCAGTTGGGTTCAGTGCTTTTTGAATCTGGATGAACTACAACTCCCATATGTAAGCCATCCTGAGTCCCCCCTTGGGGGTTGAGAAGAGACGGAGTAGCCATACCAGAAATAAATACAGTATATTCTGGCGTATAAGACTACTTTTTAACCCAAGAAAATCTTCTCAAAAGTCAGGGGTTGTCTTATACGCAGGTGTAGTCTTATGCATGGGAGTCGTCTTAACTCTGTATTTAACTGGAAAAGTTGGGGGGTCGTCTTATATGCCCAGTCGTCTTATATGCCAGAATATACGGTAAATAAATATGCCAAGGTCAATCACCCCAATCCCTGCAGTTGTATTCACAGTTAGTCATGTTGGGTCTGTTTGCCCAGTTTGATTCAGATCCATCATCGGTGGGGGTCACAGGTTTCTCTGGATGCAGGGAGAACTACACTTAGCATAATGTTGGATCCCCCCCCCCCAAACCTCACCAGTATTCAAAATTGGTCATATTGGGTATTTGTGCCAAGTTTGGTCCAGATCCATCAGTTGGGTGCTCTGTCAGTGTGGGTGAACTATAACTCCCAACCTTTGAGGTCAGTCCCCTTGAAACCCTACCAGTATTCAAAGTTTGGCATGTTAGGTATGTGTGCCAAGTTTACTTGTTCCATCACCAGTTTGGTACAAAGTGCTCTCTGAGTGTTGGTGAATTGCAACTCCCAGAATTAAAAAACAGCCCCCTTCCCCAGCCCCACCAGCATTCAATGTTGGTTATGTATATAAAGTGCCAAGTTTGGCGACTCTCCATTTTGGGCTTCAGAGTGCTCTTTGATTGTAGATTATTGATAAATTCCAGCAAAAACAACTCCCAAATGACAAAATCACCCCCCCCCCCCCCAAACCCACCAGTATTCAAATTTGGACATATCAGATATGTGTGCCAAATTTGGTCCAGGTCCATTGTTTGAGTTCACAGTGCTCTCCAGATGTAGGTGAACTACATCTCCCTTAAATCACTCTCAATTCCTTTCAAATCCCTCCAGTTTTTCTGTTGGTCACGGGGTGTTCTGTGTGGGAAGGTTTGCCCAATTCTATTGTTGGTGGGATTCAGAATGCTCTTTGGTTGTAGGTGAATTTAATTATAAATCCCAGCAACTACAACTCCCAAATGTCAAGCTCTATTTTCCCCAAACTCCACCAGTGCTCGCATTTGGGCATATTTGGTCCAGATCTAACATTGTTTGAATCCACAGTGCTCTCTGGATGTAGGTGAACTACAAATCCTAGCAACTACAGCTCCCAAATGACAAAATCAACTCCGCCAACCCCACCACTATTCAAATTTGGGTGTATTGGGTATTTGTGCCAAATTTGGTCCAGTGAATGAAAATGCATCCTAGTGCATACCAGTAGCAAAATTACAGTTAAGAAGTAGCAATGACAATAATTTTATGGTTGGGGGTTACCACAACATGAAGGATTGTATTAAGGGGCCACAGCATTAGGAAGGAACACCTCAGCAAGCGAGAGTCCAAAAGTGGCAGGCTAAAACCTGGAACCTCAGTGGCTGAGAGTGGATGAGAGACTCTCCCCTGGGCACACACAAGACTTTGCGACTTGGAAGGTGCTGAGCTGACCAGAATGCGCTCTGGCGCCACAGAGGTATGGAGCCAATCTTCAGAAAGTGGAGTCCATGACATGCGAGTGTGGAGAACAGCAAACCACAGACCACTCACTACAGTGCAGCCTGAGCCCTGCCACATGCACAATGGAGGGCCTTCTCACAGCGACACCAGAGGCACTGACTTCTGGTCAGGGGCGGCTCAATCCATTATATTTATTTATTTATTTATTTATTTATTTATTTATTTATTATTCGAACTTATATGCCGTCACTCCCCTGGGGCTCGGAACGGCTTACAAGAACAGGCTAAAATTGAACAAAATTTAAAAACAATTTAAAACAATTTAAAAACAGCAATATCAGAGATCAAAGGCCCGTCGAAACAGATATGTCTTACATGCCCTGCAGAAAGCTGATAAGTCCCGCAAGGCATGGACTTCAGGTGGCAGAGTACGCAAAGTAAGCATTTGCAGTATAGTTGATTTTGCCCAGGGGCTCTCTTGAGGCGCTCTTGGGGAAAAATAGACCTTGACATGTGAGTTGGTTACTGGGATGTATAGTTCACCTACAATCAAAGAGCATTCTGAACTCCACCAATGATGGAATTGAACCAAATATGGCACAGAAAATATATATCAGTGATTGGTTCGGGGGGTGGGGGTGGGGGGTTGCGTCAAAATACTGTTTGCTTACTGTTGAAAATTACCTAGGGCCGCCTCTGCTTCTGGTCAAAGGAAATTTAGTATAATCCCAAGTTTTTAACTTTGTGTTTTTAAATACATTACAACTGTACCCTTAACTCGCTTCTGACACGATAAATAAATAAAACCTTGGGCAGGTGACACTTTCTCAGCCTCTGAGGCAAAGCCCCCTCTGGAAACCAGAGGCGGCCCTAGGTAATTTTCAACTGTAAGCAAACAGTATTTTGGTCCCCCCCCCCAACCAATCACTGATATATATTTTCTGTTCATCGTGGGAGTTCTGTGTGCCATATTTGGTTCAATTCCATCATTGGTGGAGTTCAGAATGCTCTTTGATTGTAGGTGAACAATACATCCCAGTAACTACAACTCGCATATGTCAAGGTCTATTTTCTCCTCCAAGAGTGCCTCAAGAGCACCCCTGGGCAGGCATGTAGCGGGGGGGGGGGGGGGGGGGGGCTTGAGGAGCTTCAGCCCCCCCCCCCCAAATTCTCATGGTGGTTCGCAAAAAGGCCTTACTGGTGCATTATTTAAACTGTTATGTTTATTCATATCATGATCTGATCACCATACTCAATATATCCCATATGCATGGGGGTATTGGGGTAATGATACAAAAGGTTTGCTAGGGTAGACCCTCTTTCACTCAGACTCAGCCCCCCCCCGAAACTCAGCCCCCTCCCCCGAAACGAAATCCTGGCTACGGGCCTGCCTATGGCCAATTGAAACATCTACACCTACCTCAAACACGGGCGGCTCAACCCATTACGCAAAGTAAGCATTTGCAGTATAGTTGATTTTGCCCAGGGGCGCTCTTGAGGCGCTCTTGGGGGAAAATAGACCTTGACATATGCGAGTTGTAGTTACTGGGATGTATAGTTCACCTACAATCAAAGAGCATTCTGAACTCCACCAATGATGGAATTGAACCAAATATATCACACAGAACTCCCACGATGAACAAAATATATATATCAATTTGGGGGGGGAGGGGCATACTGTTTGCTTACCATCAAAAATTACCTAGGGCCGCTTCTGTGCTTACCTTGCGCAATGGGTTGAGCCGCCCCTGCTGGAAACACACCTTGGTGAGGAAATCCCCCTGATGAGTTTGCTTTAAGAAGTCAGGAATGATTCAAAAGCACACAGCAGCCAGCCACACACACACACACACACACACACACACACACACACACACACAACACTGGAGAGGAAAGCTTCAAATAAGACTGATGGGAAGGTGAGAGGGGGGCACAGGGGACCCCAAATGAAGCAAAGCACCTACCTGAGAAGAAAAGGCGGACGTCTCAGTTCACTTCCCTTAAATAAGCCTCGGAGAGTACCGTTAGTGAACTTCAGACCTAGCAAATCTCCAATGTACACAAGCCACGGCAATGACAGATGGCCTTACTGTTATGTTTATTCATATCATGATCTGATCACCATGCTCAATATATCCCACATGCATGGGGGTATTGGGGTATAACATACAAAAGGTTTGCTAGGGTCCCCCCCCCCCCCCCGAATCAAAATCCTGGCTACGGGCCTGCACAGTGGTATTAGAAAACTGCAAGAATGAACGGTCTGGAATGGCATAATTAGCGATTAATACCGGAAATATCCATATTAGAACCAGCAGAGTCCAGTCAGCTCAGTTTGGCCTTTTGAGGGCTGGGCAACCACCCTGGGGAGCAAGTGGAGGGTGAAACACATGGGTAGAATACGGCAAAGGAGAATGGGCTGAATAGTAGAATCCATTGAGGCAGGAGCAGGTTCAAATCGAAGCAGGAGTGTGGTGGAGTCTCCTTTGGATGGCCATCTGTCAGGGGTGCTTTGAATGCAATCTTCCTGCTTCTTGGCAGAATGGGGTTGGACTGAAT